GTTATACAGTTATTAAGTACATTGCCGATAGATCAGTAGTGTTTGACTACTAATCAATGAAGTAACTATGATTAACTATGAAGTATTATTTGACTTTTCATAAAATTATTATTTGCTCGATATGCACACACATCAGGTGTGATTACTACTATGAACGATTAAAGGGCACATTAAATGTGCAAAACGGTCACTTCGGACAGGTCTTATGTCTGTTGGCTTGGACAACGCAGAAAAGCGTGTTACGTTAAAGTACTTCAGTCACTGGAGTAAATTGCTCGACCAGCGTTCATGCCAAAATTTTGTAACTATATCTCTTCAAATATGAAAGTTTTTCTTACAAGGACATGATTCGCTCGTTCAGTATGTATGGCAGCTATATGCTATAGTAATTCAATATTGCACTTCGGACAAAAAAATGATGTGGGCAAATTTTCAGATCAATATCTCAAAAAATGAGAGATTAGTTCGTGTATACATATATGCACATACAGAGGGTCGGACAAACAGACGGACATGGCTAAATCGACTCAGCTCGATTTGCTGATCATTTATATCTTTACGAGGTGTGTTCAAAAAGTACCGCGAATATTGAATTTTCGCGGGTTACGTATATTCGAATTTCGAATTTTTTGTGGCGTTATGTTGGTACTCATATCTCTCGCTTATGCCGACAAGCTCGGCCATTTTGAATGTTCATTTAATTGTTGACAGTTGCTTTGCTTGCACGTGTTTTGGATCGTCTTCGATTTTTACCTATTCAAAAAAATGGATCAAAGAACCCGTATCAAAATTTTGTGTGAAAAACGAAATTAAGTGTGCGGATGCATTCCGAATGTTGACTGTGGCATACGGAGAAGCTACCTTGGACCGAAGCAACGTTTATCGGTGGTACAAAATGTTCTCAGAAGGAAGAGAAGATGTGACAAAAATTGGCGTTTGCACCACGATAACGCCCCTGCTCACACATCGTTGCTTGTGCGCGACTTTTTGGCCAAAAACAACACACTAATGGTGCCGCAGCCACCGTATTCCCCAGATCTGGCCCCCTGTGACTTTTTCTTGTTCACCAAACTGAAGAGGCCCATGACGTTACGCTTCTCTTGACGAGATAAAGACTTCGAGCTGAAGAAGATAAAAAAAAATGATTTTTTGAAGTTCTTCGAAGATGGGAAAAACCTTTGGCACAAGTGTAATATATCTCATGGGGATTACTTTGAAGGGGACAAAATAGATATTCATGAATAATAAAAAAATTTGGAAAAACACAAAACTCGCGATACTTTTTGAACATACCTCGTATAGTAGCCTTAGCTGGAGAGTCGCTTCGGCGGTTAAATACTCAAACACGTGATCAAAATTGGACTCAACAGATGGATCATCAGAGAGAGCCTCGACCAACAATTGAAAGAGATAATCTCCAAATAATGTTTTTCCGAATGGTAATAAAAATTCCCAATTAAAATTAAAGTTTCTAGGTTTTTTCTTCGAAAAAGTAGGAAGGCTAGAAATAGATCACCCTTTATAAAATGTGCAAAAATATTTTTATGTGATCGAATCTTTTGTCTTCAAGTGATTTCTGCAACAAATTCTAGGTAAACTGATTTACTTGGGTGTACTCCTCAAATTGTATTTGATATAACAGAAAATCTATCGCTTTTGATTTGAACATCATATTTCCTTTATTTTGTAAGTTTGTTGGTGTTTATTATTACTTATTTGCATGTTTTTTATTGCAGCTGGAAAAACTGGAAACCGCTGAGTTTCATGTAGAAGGCTACAAATTCTTGTACAATATGGAGAAGCAGAATTTTGAGGAAGCTAGGGAACATCTTCGAAAACCGCTGGAGCACAGATTCTCCTTTGGAGATTATCATGAGTTAGTAAAAATATTTTTACAGCTGAGTGATTTTGAAAGCTCAACAACTGTATGTCCACAAATAATTAGAAGAAGTCTTACACTAGCTTCCAAAAATCGCACAACATTTTTTCATTCATTTTTTAATAAAAAATCATATTAAATATTTACTATATGATATTGTTTTAGTTATTCACAGTTACTCTTTCTCTTCCCGTTCTGTTGATTTGCAGTGGTCTCTTTGATATTTACATTTCCTACGTAGAAACCTTGCTGACCGAAACTACCTATAACGAAGGTCTTCAATATTTACTTCGTGCCTTGGAGACCTACTCAAGCCGATTTCCCAAGGAATCTTCAACGTGGATTCTCTTATACTGTATATACAGCGAATGTGGCTATGTGCCAGGAATGAGTTATACTCGCTGGAAATTTGAGAATTTGAAAAAAGAGTTCACCAGAAATACTCAACTGCCGTTAACCCTTTGGGATCTCTATTGCAAGCGAAGTCTTGAGTTTACATCTAAAAGAACAACGGAATTTTACAAAGTGGTTCAAGAATTCTTAGAACTGGGGTTGTATAAGTTTGCACAAATAATTTTTGGACAAATTTTAATTGAATGCACGGAAGCGGAGAAGTATTTCGTTACGATCACTTTACAAATTCTACTTCGAGAAATAACGGACACATATTCGATGCGAACATTTCATGGGCTCCAAACGGTAAGACTAAAGAGAGAGAACTTTAGATACGTACAGAATATATTCGATTTACTCGCCTAACGGTAGATCGAGATAGATGTATGGTTATGTAAATATATATATGAAAAAAAAATCGGGTTGATGGAAGGGAGTAATATCTAATCAAATATGACACGGACTGGTCCATTTTACTGCGTTCGCAAACAAAATCGATAAGCAATTTTTTCCTAGAGTGGTACAACCTATTGCCGAAAACGATGTTGATAACGAGACGAGATCGCAAAAAAATTCTTCACAACGTATCTGAGTACGCAGCATTCATCAACGGCATCATTAGATAAATAAAAATAAAATAATTTAAATAATTCCACGAGTTTGATCCCGGTCCACGTAGATGGAACCTAGGGCCTTCAATCTGCTTCTACAAATTCCTGGACAATCTAGAATCAGGTGTACTGGAGTTTTCTGTTCCATGTCGAAAACCGGGAGTTTACGCAAGAGACTATGATCATGTTGGAGAAGGGTTCCTGAGCCTGCAGTGTCCCATATAGAGGTTATCCATATCTCTAAAACTTGTTGTAACCTCCCAGTAGCAGCTTGACGCATTCCTGCTGTCTGCTGCCAGTGTCGTTCCCTCCCCACGCTCACCTCCGTGCGGAGCAACTCCTTTATGGTGTGGGGCAGCTCCTTGTCCGTTAGGTGTACACGGTTGCAAATTGATAGAAGGTTTAGCCTTCTATACACTCCTTCATTAATAGCGATTGGACTTCATAAGCTGAGATCGATTTTAGTGCCGCTTGACTATCGTTGAATATACCGATTGGTTTCTGCACACTGCTTATAGTAAAGACTCTGCTTGAAAGATGCTCAGGAAATATCCCATTGGTATGCGGCCCCGCAACGCCCCCTACAATGTCTTCCGGCGATTTCGAGCCGTCAGTGTAGTGCTGCCCCTTAGTAGTAGGTCGACCGGGAAATCCGCCTTACTGCCGAGACTAACTTTAAACTTCTTTGTAAAGTTTAACTTCTTTGCAAAGCCGTCCCTTGAAAAAAGGGCAGATGGTGTGTCTTCCTTTGCTAAGAGGACATTATCTTCCTTTTGTCAAAAACTTCTGCTGCCATGAGCAGCATGGTGTGTTTCGCTGCCTGTTTGATCACTAGATTCAACGGAGTGAGCTCGAGCATGACTTCAAGTGCTGCGGTTGGCCAAGTGAAATCGAAAAACCAAAATTCGCTGAATGCACTGAAGGCCACTCCAGCCGATACTTATAATAAATACAAAATTGGATTGGAAGCGTTTGTACGCTTGTATTGGCTCAGAAGCCTATTTGAAGGCTCCTAAAGGAAGAATAAAAATTTGTATTAAAATACGTGAAGTGTTGTCTTTTAGTTGTATCGCACCAAGCAGAAGAACCCTGTCGAAGCCATCAGTTTCGGGGATATACATTCCTTTGATAATTATATTGACATCGCCAAATGAAGAGGGCATAAAAAAGCGAACACAGCAACAAAATTAAATCGACTAATCTTGAGAAATTCTAACAACTGTTGCACACTTAATCTATTATTTTTGGCTTTCAGACAATTTTACAATCCCATATCAATGGACATTTGCATTATTATCTTGGCGATAAATCTGCTGCCAAGGACTGTTACGCTGTCATTTTGCACAACACTGAAAACCTGGATGATATCGGAGTTTACCAAATGAGCATTTTGCGTTATGCCATCTATTTATTTGAACGTGGCAAATATGAGAAAGCAATCAGCGCATATGGGCAATGCACGAGAATCAGCAGTTGCCGCGTGAAAGCGCTTTATGACCTTGGAAGGGCCTATTATCGAGTAAGTAACTGGATTTGGGATTGTTTTTAGAATGCACAAACTCACCGAATAACAATTCAAAAATATAGTTGGGAAAATATCAAGCGGCGGAAGAAAAGTTTTCGTCTTGTACAAATTTTGGCATACATTTACCAGATGTTTGGGGCTACTTAGCATTGACTAATCTCAAGATGAATAACACATTTAAGGCTCTTGAATCGTGGAAATACGCCAAAATTGTGAGTAGTAATTTTATAACAATTTGTTTTTAATTTTTATACTTTCGCAACTTCTGAAAATATGCCTATGTCTCTGATCTTCGCCAATTGCGAGAGTATAAAGTGTTCGGTTACACCCGAATTGCACTGCCTTACTTGTTTTGTTTGGAATTTTTAGAACCCGAATAATGTGATAAGTGAAGAAATTTATAGTGAATTGAAAAAAATTGATTTGAATGAAGTAACAATAATTGTTGATGCTCCTGATGCTGCAGCTAATAACAATTGCTATAAAAATCCTTGAAAAATATAAATACACTCTTCAAATTCACTGTTTGAGGATTTGTACATCTTGTATATTTAATGTATATAATATATTTTAGATGCATAATGTACATAAGTCTAAGATTATACTAACATTATAAAAAGACATTTCACATGAAATGCACGTATTTTAGTTACTTAATACATAAAACCTGAAGGCGCACTATCGTTGCCACCACCCGTGGGCACAAATTTGTGGTATGGTGTAATAGACGTTTTTATATCTAGACTTTCTTCAGTTCTTAACTCATTGACTGCATGTTTCAATTGCAGGATGCATTCCGGATTTGTATTCACCGAAAGTTGAGAAATTTCTTTTTCAAAGAGTGTCGCCATCGCTTCGAGCAGATCAACAAAGCCAATGGATAGTGCAGCGCGTCGTATGCGGTTTAATTCCTTATAGAAGTGCTGCGTCTTCTCTGGCATTTTCTTTGCATGTCGCAGTACTTTTTGCACGTCAGACTGCAAACTTACTTGTTTTATCCACACCACACAACTTTGGGAATATGAACGCTTTTCGGCCTTCACTGGAAATGCGTTTGTTTCGCCTGGCAATAAGTCTTCAGCAAATCCCAATAACTGCAGGTCCCCCAACCAGGGAATAACATTATTACCGGGTGGTAAAATATTCAACATTAAATTCGATTTTTTCTTACTATCCGCATAGGAATAGATAAAGCCATACCAATTATCATTTAATAATACCAATGCAGCTAGATTTTCAACTTTCAAAGCGCCATGGAGCATAACGCACATCGATTCTTTTTCAGCTGCGGTTGCTGAGGCAGCGCTTCCAGCTTTATTAACGTTGGTTTCAGTATCTTCGCTGCTTTCATCACCTTCTTTAATGTCTTTTGTATAGAATTCTCGTATTTCCTGCTCTAATTTTTCGTACTCATAGTTTGGTTGGTTTACGTCTAATGTTGGTTTAACAGTGGCACTAGCGCTTCCACTCGATGAAGATTTTGAGGAACTTAATTTTTCAGACGAACGACGTGCTGGCTTTTCTCTATCCACTTTAGGAATAATTAAATGTCGGCTTAAGGAAACGGGTGAACCAATTTCGGACAGGGACAAAAACCCACATATCTCTATTTTCTGTGATATTTTTAATTCGGTTTTCACTCCATTCTCCGTTTTATATGGCGCAGGTCGGGGCCATATTACAACCGGACACTCCAACCGGAAATAACCACCAGCTTTAAGCGTAACTTCATAAGGCTTAAAATTGGCCTCACAAACTCTTTCAATTAAATCGAACATAGCAGTGCGACCAAGCTCACTCTTATGGCTTGAATGTGTTCCTGTTGTGGGCGTCGATGTGTTGACGTTGGCGATTCCTGGTGGCTTATTGTTGTCATTTATATTTTCCAAACTCTCCATAGTCTCTTTCACAGCTTTCGGCATATATAGTTGACCTACGCCAAAAAAATTAAGTTTTAAATAATCCTTAAATTGTCTTGTAAATTTACCTTTAAGCCCTGTGAAATCTATTAGCTGCTGATATATTGGCAAAGAACGTGTGAAGTAATAATCACTTTGAACTCCCATGCACACAAAATTTAACTTGACTGCCTTCAGTAGAGTTATCCAATCGAACTGAGGTTCATTTTCTTTGTCGACATAACTGTGGAAAAATCCCTTGAGTGCAGTACTTCCAAACCTGTTCCGTTTATACACAGACGCTTTAGTATTATAACTATCTTAAATATTTTGAAACCCTTTAAATACTTACCCTAAGCCACAGTCCGTGAACACTACAACTTGAGAATAGTTTTGAAAGCCCCAATTGGTCGACAATATACTCGCAACATTTTTCAACATACTTATGAGGCAGAGTTTGTCACCGGGTTCTATTTTCTTTAGAGCTTGTCGAATAATGTCATAGTCACGCGTAAAATCTACCTTTACCTCGGATGTTGTGGAGTATACAACTAAGGAAACATATTCCAATTTCGATGTGGCAGACAAATGTTCTAGCAATTGTGATATACCCTTGACGGCTAACTGATGGTAAGTAAGTGTATTTTCTTCACTTCGGCCTGGTATTTGACGTTGCATAGACAATGACACTGTTGAAGAAATATTAATTATTATTACTCTTTCCATTTAAATCATACATATAACAAATTTATTTACTTACCATCCAGAGCAATAATAGTGGGCATCTTATCTATTTTAGTTGTGTTTAACTGCTATTTTGATATTTCCCCAGTAAGACTTTGAATTCCAGAATTAACTTATATACGTGTATATATAGGTTTAAAGTCAAGAAATGTCTTTGGGTAAACAATTTGTTTCACTATATTAAAAAAACTATATTTATGATTCTACAGTTGTATTTTGTGTACAAATTTTAGGTTTGTTTCATAACTGGAAGTAGCTGCTAGCTGTCAGAAAGAACAATATGCGAGTTATCTCACAAAAAGCGAAATAACATAAATTAAAGAAACGGAAATCTAGAACCTAGAAACTAACAGAAATTTATGAAGAAAACTTAAAATAATAATAATTAATATCGCTTCATATCAACACTTGAATACTGATCAATAGAATTATTTATTTTAATAATTCAAAACAATAAAAAAAAAATTGAAAACCAGTGTTGCAAAATTTAAATATTCCCTTTTATTTTGTATTCTCAAAAATCTTAGTTCAAAATGATTTTTAAATCTCAAATACGCGATTGAAAAAAAAATGAGTCCCAAAAAATGTTAACCCAAAAACCGGATTAAAAAACTAAAAATAAAAAAAAAACTATAAGTCCTAGCATATAAATAGAATTAAAAAAATTGTTTGCGTACTTCGTGTACTACAAATTTTGGATTATAAAATAGTTTTTCGTCATGGAATTCTATAATTCAAATTAATGAATTGAAAAAGTCGCAACCCTAATCATGTGACAAATATCGTTTGTCAACACATGTTTTTAAACAGATGTTTATTCATATGGTTGTAAGCAAGGAACCCTCTGTGCTCTTTAGGCTCTCAACTTGTGTCCTGTGTGTTTTTTCTGCTACGAAACGTTTTTCCATCTAAAAATTAGCAAGCTAGTAATATTTAGCAGTTATAAAACAAACCTAATATCCCATGATATACATATGCAGAGCTGCCAAGCATTATACTTAATCGTTTAAAATTTACTGTTAACGATTGGTCACTGTTGCGATACATCTCCGAAAATACGTAAGGCAAACTGTAGCACCTAGTTTATTATCCAATAAAAGTATATACGTATATATCGCAATGGAAGATGTCCGATGTAAACTCCTACTCATATTTTATAAATAAAACATAGTCTATACGTCAATGTGAATATATGCTGTTTTGAAATATTTTTCATTAATGTCTTTTAAACAGTTATTTCTTTTAATTGAAATACTTATATTCAATTAGCATATTATAAATTAGAATAATTAGTTATATTTATCATTGTAACAAATTGGCTATGTGTTTAAAAAGAAGTAAGCTAAAGAAAATGGTCCTGAAGCCTTTATTTGCAAATAATTTGTACTTTATAGAATTTTCTATGGAGTTGCAACGAACAATTTCTTCCACAAAAGGCTTCCAAAGTATTCAAAATTATGAGAAATTCGAAAGCATATCCTCAATATATTTTAACTCTAGACCAAATTGGAGCAATAAAAAGAAACTGGGTTTAAAACAGTGTTATCTATATTTTTTAATAGATCCGCGAATATCGCGTAACCTACCAGTCAGCGCTAAAGAAAATGTGATTATAATGTGACGACGAGTGTCCTCTTTTTAAAAGATATATTCAAAAACGGTGATTTTAGTATTTTCGAAGAAAAACCAAATTCTTATATTCTCTTCTCATTCTCATAATATTGGAACCATCGCAAAGTTATGAATAAAAACTAATGTCCTATGAAGTCACCTTTTTTGAATTTGCATTGCTATTTCATGACCAGACGTTGAATATGTTTCTTTGTTTGTAGAGTCTTAAAGAACTTGAAATATGGCAAAGGTTTTTGAATTCGATTTTCTACGTAGGGAAAGCAAAATCGACGCGCCCTTATTCACATTTATATAATGCTATCAAAATATACAACAAACCGGAACTTGATGATAAAGGTTGATATTTTTCAGAATATGTACTTATCGATATACATCTGTATTTCTTAATACATATATAAAATTTAGTGTACCCTTATTACAGCCGTGTATCTAAATGCAGTTGTAAGCGATATCCAGGCGCCTAAATTTAGTAAGCTAGATCATATAGTTGATATTTGGAGAAATGGTTTTGGTGTCGTTAATCTACACGTCTTCCACAATATCTTGCCATATGAAGCATATACTCGAGAGGTTTGTATCTAAACTTGTAAGAATAAAATGTTTAAAGATTTCTCTTTTATTTCTGTTTTAAGGCCGCCGTCATAGATGCAATAAGTCTTCCTAATTTAACTAACCAGAAACGTGGAGTTTACTACGGCCCATCAAGTAAATGGACGGCCAAAGGAAGAAAACGTCTAGGAATTGCTTTGCTTTATAGGGCAATGAAAATATTCTTATCGGAAGGCGAAATTCAGTTATATCCTTTTGATTTAGCTTGATTATAATTCTGACTATAATATATATATATATATATGTATTTAAAATGTGTAACTTTTATTTCTTTGGCTCCGAGTTCTGTTACCTAGGGATAAGGGAGGTTCTCCAGATAAAACCATGAGACTTAAGTTTTCATGATATTTACAAATGTGTAAATAAAGGGCTGTTATCTGCGATTTCAAGTAGAATCATTTATAAATAGCAATACAGTTTCAGTATCCAACGGCAACTATGTATAACCTAGTAGCCATCCGTAATATAGGTTAAGACACTTTCTGCACATTTTCATATTGAAATTAATGCAAAATACGGATATATTGTTTTATTTGAAAAAATATATATATATATTTTAAAATACACTTATAAGTAGACATTTATGTGTTTACATTTTTTTAAAAAATTTATGCTATATATTCATTTTAACCCCGAACTTTCCTTCAACCTACGCGTCCAGAAGTTTTGGCACTGTATTCGTGCCAAATTCTGCAAGAAATGGAAGGCATATTTCATTAGCAATCAAAATCTAAAATAATTCAATTAGTAAACAAATTTTTTCTAAGCGCACCCTCTAGAATTTTTTTAACTCCTATTCTATGATCTTAATTTGCTGAACGCATTTTTTGAACATTTCCATTTTTCTATTTTACCGCCACTACATTCCAAACTTGCAAAACAAAAAGAGATAGATGTATATATTGCATTGTAAATACAACACCAAACACTTCCTTGTCGATTAACGACGTTGATTTTGGCAAGAGCATTTTGGTTAGAAGCTAAATGGTTATATTTTTTGAAGTTGTGAAAAATACATACAAATATAAAGTATAATGCCTGAAAATTATTGCAAAATGCACTTAAGATTGTGAGCAAAGACAAGTTATTAAATTCGTTTAAAAGTTAACAGGGTAAGACGCGTTAAAGATATTTGGAAAAAGTGTGTTTGGCTGGTGGCTGGGTTGCGTTTTGTTCGTGTTCGTGTTGTCGTTGTCGTTTGTGGTGGCGGCGGCGTGTGTGTTTATTGCGAGACAAATGCGTTTTCAGCCTTGCTGAAATCCTAAAAAAAAGTTGTACTATTAATTGGCAGTAAAGAATTATGCATTTATGTTATATTTTATGTTTGCTTATAAAGTTCTATATATTCGGAAAAAACGAAGCAATTTATAAAGGTTTAGTTGAATGATTCTTTGCCTTTCCAACTGTGATCCCAAATTTGATGAAAAATTAGGGAATGCATGAATTACTCTTTATATTGGCCATCAAATTGTTTTCTCGAAGTGTTTGATGTATTGTAAACAAATAAATATTCCAAACATAAACTTGTATTAGAGTGCATCGCCCATTATAAATGTTAATAAAAGGATCATAATATTTTATTTGTAGGAATTTTTATATCAAAAATTTTTATAAAACACGTCAAACAATTACTATATTTTTGGAACATTAATTTATTTCAAAAAATAATATAGTTAAAGACGAAATCCTTTCACCTACTATTCTGGACGAAATTTGGAAATAATAAATGACAATATATTTTTGAGTGTTACTAAAAATGAATCCCTCCGAGCTGCGTATGATGTGGATGAGTCACTATAATCCTGAACGCATCACAGTGGAGGACGCACCCTCATTCTTTGGTCATCCATCAGTGGGACTTTCTGTAATGGACGATTTATCCTCACATCAACCAACAATGGTATGTATAGCACAGCCTTTTATACTATTTATTGCTTCAAAAACATATTTCATGGTTATAATACATGCATACATATGTAAATAAATAATTGAGCGATTGTTGCATATGCATCATTTAGAATCGAGTACATTTCATTTACGATTGAATTTAAAATCTTCAATTGCAACTTATTTACTATAATTTCACTCATTTATTTCTCAAAATCTTTCTTTTTCTTTTCATATGTTTTTTTCTTGCTGTGTTTGATCATTTACTCCTCCCCAAAAATGAAAAAATAAAAATAATACCTAAAACTACCGCAATTTAAAAAATCTATTTCGACTTGAATAATATTATCGCGTTAATTATTATATATAACCACTATAACAATATAACGCAATATATCTGCGGTATCAACGGATGTATAAACAAATATAACTTCGAATGCGATTGGTTTTCCTGTTTGTCTAATAAATCGAAAATGAAAACAAAAAGGATTTGAATCCAATGATGAGTATTGTTGGGGGGGATTTCAGTGGTCAGGCGGCAGCAGCAGCAGCGGCTGCATTGGGCGTACAACCGACAGCTCTAATTGCGGCCAATTCCAACGATATTTACGGTCTAGCACAAGTAGGTGGTTTGCATCAGCAATTACTTCAACAATCGGCCGCAGCTGTTTTTCAAAACTACACAGAAGTTATAGACGATGATGATGGCACTGGAAGTGGCGCAATAGGTGTTGACAACAGCGTTTGTGGCACTGTCAGCGTAGACAAATCATTAGCAACACAATTTGTTCATAACGATGAGCCACAAGCAATCTATGATCAATTGGATGACGGTAGTTACGATGGTGGTTTAGCGCCAAAACAGGAAATTATAAATATTGATGATTTCGTTATGATGACCGATTCTAATTCGTACGATGGTACAGAATTTATGGCTGACGAGCGAGAGGTGGCAGAAGGAAGTAGTGGTGGCGTTGATATCTCCCATGCACATGGCATGGATGAGAATGGTGTCCTTGTGCCTTTGGATAGTGGACACAAATTAATAGGCGATAGTGGCGATGAGGTGATGGTGCCCGCCACCACAACCGTAATGCAGGCAACAGCAGCAACCTCATCAAGAGGATTTGGTGGAGGTGGAGGAACGGGTCACCATCGCTCATCGCAACGTAAGACTCGAAAAATAGAACCAGTTAACAGGCCAGGACTGGTGCTGAAGACACCAATAGCATATAAGGGAAACATAGACCCATCGGTCATACCAATTCAGAAAGACGGCATGGGTATGTTTTTTTTAATTATTGATTTTGAAAATCAATTCATTTATTTTTTTGGTTTAATAAATTTCCACTTTATATATAGAGGTTGAAAACTAAAAAGAAAAAAGTAACACAAATATTTATAATTAGCTTAAAAGTGGTAAATTGTAGCGACGCCATAGCATATATTTAGCATTATTATATTTTGTATAATCGCTGCCCAATATAAAGGAAATCTGCGTTAAAAAATCATTGAATGTTTCCTATTTCATATGAGAACTGAAAACTTAATTATTAATGTAAACAAGTACACAAATAAGCAGTGATACAAGATGCACTAAGATTTAATGCATCGGTGCGTGTTTTAATTTGATAAAAATAATAATACATAAAATAATATTAGGATCGTAAACTTTTTTGTAGGTTAGTTTTTCATGCTTTACTTAATAGAAAGTAGTGTTATTTATTTTTTCTTTAACTTGCAATTGCTAATACTTTCCATTTCATTTTTCTATATTTTTTTCAGCCGTCTGTGAGCGTTGTGGTGCAATCGGTGTAAAGCACACTTTCTACACCAAATCTCGACGTTTTTGCAGCATGTCCTGCGCTCGTGGCGAACTTTATTCTTTGGTAGTAAACAACACTAAAATGGCAGGTGGTACGCAACAACAGCAACAGACGATTTCCAATTCCCCCGTGCAAGATCATATAGATGGTGCAGCTGGAAGTAACAATGGTAATAGCAACGATATACAACAACACGATACACAACCTCAACAATCTGATATTGAGTTGGCGTTACGTGTTGCTCATATTAAGAATTCGAATTATCGTTTTCGCATCACAGACCAATCGAAAATTACACAAATCAACGGTTTTGGCGAACCTGTCATGTCCGCCGAATTGACAGGAATGGATGGCGCAAGTGCACTAACAGGTCTAAGTAGTGAGAATGGAGCTTTGTGTGGTGTAAATGCAGGTGGCTTAGTTGCTACGCCAAAGGCACTTCAAATGTACCGTGATGTTTTACCACAAGAAGACCTGCCACAAATTCCAAAATTTGAACGTTTACCAGTTTCCTGCCCACAAATGGAAAAAATCATTAGTATACGTCGTCGTATGTACGATCCGTCGCATTCTTTCGATTGGACGCCGCGTTTGTCGCATCCGAATTTCTTCGCTGCACCTGTTACTTGCTTTCCACATGCACCCGGCTATGAAGTTTGGGACAGCATTGGCATTGACATGAAAGTTGAGGTGGAGAATACAGATTGTGATAATACGGAAATAGTGCAGCCCGGCCAGACGCCACACTCGTTTTGGGTTGCGACGATCTTAAATATTTGCGGATACAAAGCTCTTATGCGTTACGAAGGTAAGTAACCCCGTATGCCGAGGATGAAATGCAACTTTTGAGATAGGTATTAATTTCGATTATTTTTTAATATTTCAGGCTTTGATGAGCCAACACATGACTTCTGGGTAAATCTATGCAATGCGGAAGTACACTCGGTTGGTTGGTGTGCGACACGCGGCAAACCTCTAATACCGCCACGTACTATCGAGAACAAATACAAAGATTGGAAAGATTTCCTCGTGGAACGATTGTCTGGCGCACGTACACTACCTTCCAGCTTTTACAACAAAATTAATGACAGCATGCAGTCGCGCTTCCGACTGGGCTTGAATTTAGAGTGTGTGGATAAGGATCGAATCTCACAGGTTCGCTTGGCAACGGTGACAAAAATTGTAGGCAAGCGTTTGTTTTTGCGGTACTTTGACTCTGATGACGGTTTTTGGTGTCATGAGGACTCGCCCATCATACATCCTGTAGGTTGGGCGACTACCGTGGGTCACAATTTAGCAGCACCGCATGATTATTTAGAACGAATGTTGGGTAAGATTTCCGCTTGGTCTAGTTTATATATGCATATTGATGGACAGTAAAAAACTCTTTTTGTGTTTACACTGTAGCTGGCCGTGAGGCAATGATTGAAGTACATGAAGATGATGCAACGATTGAGCTTTTCAAAATGAATTTCACGTTCGAAGAATATTACATGGATGGCAAAGGAAATGGTTTTGTGGAAGGCATGAAATTGGAGGCAGTCGATCCTCTCAATCTATCATCGATTTGTGCTGCAACCGTAATGGCGGTCCTTAAATTTGGCTACATCATGATACGCATCGATTCTTATCAACCAGATGCAACAGGGTCAGATTGGTGAGCTCGAAGCTTGTCAACTATAACATGTATAATTAGTATATATTTAAATTTGAATTTATTTGCAGGTTTTGCTATCACGAAAAATCGCCCAGCATATTCCCAGTTGGCTTCTGCGCTTCAAATAGCATCACCTTAACACCACCCAATGGCTATGATGTCAATACATTTAGTTGGGAAAAATATTTGCAAGAAACGGGTAGCGTTGCTGCTGGCCAGCATTTATTCCACCGTATTGTGCCAAATCATGGATTTCGGGTAGGTTAAAAAATACTATACTTATAAAATATATAAGTTTAATCTGTCACTTATAACCATATTTAGGTCGGCATGAGCCTCGAATGTGCTGACCTAATGGACCCGCGCTTGGTATGTGTGGCGACTGTATCACGCATAGTTGGGCGTTTGCTTAAAATACACTTTGATGGTTGGACCGACGAGTATGACCAATGGTTGGATTGCGAATCACCTGATGTTTATCCAGTAGGTTGGTGTGTACTGGTAAATCACAAACTCGAAGGTCCGCCCGTACCTGTGCAGGTTACAGCCAAAACGAACACCAAAGCGAAAAGTCCGAAAAAACGCAAGAAAAAATCCACCGCTAAAGGCGTAGAAAATTCAAATACAGGTATATTACGATCTCCGTAGTAGCTAATAGAATATTTCTAAAACTTTCTGTATTGTATATGACAGCCAAACCACGTACGATTGCTTTAAAAACAAATCCGCATCTTCCGAAGTTGAGTATTAAACTTGAACTTAAGCCAGAGCATCACAATGCCGCTTTCTACGAAGATAATAACGAGGATGATGACGATGATGGCGACTATGAAGAGGACAGCACCAGTCATCGCTCCGGTCAATCCACACCACTATCACATAATGATGGCAGCCAGCTGGCTTTGACGGAAAAGATCACCACAGCGCAACAAGCATCCACGACTCAAGCGTCCGTGCAAATGCGTATCGGCAACCCAACTGTAAAGAAGTCGGTGTCACCAGCACCGCCGGTTGTGGGGCGCAAAGCTACCAGCTACATTGGGGTAAGTTTAATCTTACTATAAACGCTAGAAATTTTACTTATAATCTTCTACGTCCTCGTTGTAGAATTCATCCGTCTGCAATAGCAAGTACATTCCGCGGCTTATCGAGTCCTCTTCGAATGAAAATAACAGCGGCAGCAGCGGCGGCAACAATAACAGTCAAAATGCGGACCCACAAGCAGACCTCATACCCGACACGTGGAATGTATATGACGTTTCGCAATTCTTACGCGTCAATGATTGTACGGCGCACTGTGACACATTTTTGCGTAATAAAATTGATGGCAAACGTTTGCTGCAACTATCTAAGGATGAAATAATTACTTTGCTTGGCATGAAAGTGGGTCCAGCGCTTAAAATATCCGATTTGATACAGCAGCTTAAATGCAGAGTTAACCCTGGTAAATCCAGATTGCATAAGGCAAACAAAACGTTTTTATAGTGCCTTTTGAAGCGATCGCATCAAAGAGTAACATCAAAACCACCTAAACCAACTACATTTCGTCTTAAGCTCTCACACCTAGCAATTCGTCACAATATTGTATCGTATCTAATATGATTACTGTAGCTCTTAAGTATACCAAATATGTATATTACGAGATAACATAGGCATTGTACGAGGTATGAGAGTGTCTCATGTGCATGCTGCACTTCATAAGAGCATGATGTGCGTTGGGTTACAATGATCATAGATGAGTTTGCTGTCAATTGGAACATTTTAGAGTAAATGAGGAAAATTTTTGTTAAGTCAAATCAAGCAGAATTCGACACAAGGATTCAGCATCAACAAAGTAGAAATTAAAAGATACGGAAACCTGTAGGAAACTTAACAATGAAAATTTTAAAAAATATTATTAGTTTTCTTTAATGACGTAGAATAGATACTTATTTGATATAATTTTCACTTCATACATATTTTTAATATCTAGTACACAATAACTTTATTTTAGTTAAAAAAACGCAAAGAAAAAAAACTACCTTATATATACATAATTTTGTGTATTTGTATTTTTTTGCTGTCAATAAGAAAACGAGGTGCACGAAAAATATAACACATTCGTAGACTGAGAACAATTATTAAATGAAAACAGTAAACATAATTTATTACTACAACAATTGCATAATTACAATCAATTACCACTGCAACAATACAATGTTTTCTACCGTTAGGCATAAAAAGCTTATTAGATATACTCACAACACATACCCACACACATATACACAAACAACAATAACCACGCAATATAAATGCCTTTTAAAAAAATCAACATTATAAATGATTAAAATATAACCTCAAATGCAAAACAAAAATAATAATCTTTCCAACATCACTTTAACTCCCAATAATAAGAGTCGCGTTCCTCATTTGCTCATCGTATATAATATTTTATAGATTTTGTTAAAATCAATTTGTTTGAAAATAATATATTTGCATACTGAAAAGTTTTGTGTAAATATTTTATATGAAAAAATTATTTATTGGTGGAAAAATTATTAATTTTAATTCATTGCGTTTCGCTAAATTAATCATATCCCATAAATGTGTAGTGGTAAATACAAATAATGGTGGTGGTTTACAAATCTCTTGTTCAAGGTCGATTTTCAACAATTCAAATTTCAAGTTTATTTCATATTTATTGTCGCACAATCTATGCACGTTTTATGGTTTCATCATCTTGCAACTCATGCGTTGAAGTAACGCCGCTAAAAAATATCTTTCCCTCAATTTTGGCAAAAATCAGTTTCTTTGCTGGTCCGAATTACTTTAAATACTTTGGTAGATTTTCTGTAATGTATTGCTCAGTACAAATAGATTTGGCCAATAAGTAAACAAGTCTTATAAAACTCATAGTTGACTTAGTTGCGTTAATTTTGTTTTGTTTTTGTAAATATCGCTCAACACTTTTTTACTTTGAAATATAACTCATTTAATTGATTGCATAATTATTATGATTTGTTGGATGAGTAACCAGTAATATAGCTTTGTGTAATTCGCATTTTATCGGCCCATACTCCACTTGCCCTTGACTACATATCCTAAATTAGTGTAATTAGAAGTATCCTGCGAAGACGCTACTATAAAACCGGTGCTCGCGATAAGTAACGACCAAATGGCTTAAGAAAATTGTCTTACATACATATGCATGTATTAAGATATGCAACTACATACATACATACATACAGATATGCGACGAATTGATTAAAAATATAACGATCAGGGAATAATTTCAGTTTTTGTGAAACTCAAGTGCTATTGTAAACCAACTACCAATCAGTGTATATGTACATACATACACAGAAGCATAGATGCAATTGGCAAGTCTGCTCCAGTTCCACGCAAGGTTAACATTTATGTATGTGTGTGAGAGTTAAATCTTTTGGCAACTTACTCCCTTAGGATAGTGAATAAATAAAATAATTAAAGTAAACAAAAACAAAAAATAACACAAATTATAGAATATAACCACACCGCCTCATCAGAGTAGAATGCTAGAGCGATAGAGCAAATCATGAAACAAAAACAGATTTAGAATACCAACAGCACACCAGCTTAAGTATACACACTTATATACATATGTATGTATAGAATTAACAACAAACTAATTGTAAAGATTAAAATATTAATATAAACGAGTTTATGATTTACACGATTTTAACACTCTTAAATTTGTATAATAATAAGAAAAGACGCGCAGCACACGCCCCCACACTTCCTCCCATCACACATACACACATACATGTAAGCAGTCGCATGCCACAGTCTGCGAGCGAAGTGGGGTGTTCTCATTAGCCACTTATTTGATTTACTTGTAAATAATCTACAGAAAAAGGAGAAAACAAAAAACAAACATACATTACGGCTACTTTATATTATACTTTAAAAATAAAATAGCGTGTAATAAACAGCAAACTACTATAAAAGTCATGATGTTACCGAACAAATGAAAAAACAAGTTTTTATTAAGAAATAGCAAAAATTTATGCTTTTTGTGGAAGTAAGAGTGGCTTTTGGCGAGTTCTTGAGAAGGCTGAGAAATAAAGTCTTTAAATTTGATAAATCCGACGATTGGCTATCCCGTAGCAGAGTGCAAGAGTGGTTTCAACCTTTTCAAAGTAGTCATGAGGACATATATGACGATCAACATGTGGGCCAATCAAAATCCGTAAGCACCGGAAATTCCATCAAACTGCACGTGAATTCATCAAAAATTAGCCGATATCACCATTGAAATTCATGGAAATGGAATTGAACATCTGCAAAACATCGATTTATCGCATTTTCTATTTTTTGTTGGGATATTCAGTTTGAATTTCTGCTATCGCATGTGATGGAGCAGTGTACATGATGTTGTTGCATCTAATCCTTATTTGGATGGTAAAGTTCAAGTTGATTGTGATCGAAATCAACTAACTGAAGACCCAGTAAAAGTGACGGGGTCGAAATAAGGGGGAGGGATATTAAATGAGAGATATTCATTGGGCATGCAAAGAGGTGGTTTCATTCATCCGGAGTTTTGGTTGCTCGCAGCACGCAATTTCGTGTAGGAGTTTAACCTGCTGTAATATCCAGAACGAAATTACGCAAGCTAGTCCATAAAGTTTTTAATGTTCTCACTGTTTCGCTGGTGTTCAGTGCGCGTCTGCAGTTAGTTGCGTTCGTATTCAGGTCTTGATGCTCTTAGGAGGCTGCCATCCATTCATCAGATAGTGTCATCGTCCATGCCTCTGCACCTTGGCTGTTGCGCACTTCTCTAGGTTCGAAAAGGTATGACCATCGTTTTGAGTTTCAACACGATCGTTTGGATTGGACAAGGCCTTGACAGTAGTCTAGACATTGCTCACACCGATGGAGAGGTTAGAGGATTTCAAGTAAGGTCTTTCGCCGGCTGCCTCACCCTACGTAGTTAGGTTAAATTCGCCTAGTACGAAATGGTTCCCATCCTGATACGTAGGTGCTCGAACGATATCCTGTTAGGGAAGAGTCGACATTACCTGACCACATAACTAAGCCCTGGTATATCGGACTAGGAGTCAGGCTACCAAGTTGAGCTCTTTGGGTATGTGTTGGCCGCAATTTGCACAACCGTAGAGTTGTGTTAGGTTAGTTCGAAGAAATAACAGTCTTTTATCGGATAAAATAAGATTTAAATTACGGTAACGTAGAACCGGCTATTGTGAGAATAGTGAGCAACGTATATCTTATTATTCATTTCTTATCGTTCACTTTCGGGGTCGAATATTATATTATTGTTATTAGGTTATAGATAACAGTTCATTAATTTGTAAAAAAATTAAAGTTTTTGTTTACGTTGTCCTATATCTTTTTTTTTTTTTTTGGCTTGGACACCGCTTACGCGGTTATAGAAAACCTTACAGCAGCGCGCCAGTCGTTCTTCCTTTTGGCTGTTTGCTCATCCGACGATTTTGTTGCCGTTCCATTGGGTCGTTTTTTAAGTGGCGGGCACCAAATCCAGCGGTAACCCTGCGGATTGATGGTTCGCCTTCTCACTTTAGCTCGCCTTGAAACGGATGTTCTTTTAACAGTGAACGATATCAACAAGAATTATTTTATGAAATTATTTAATGCTGCTACACATTAACTTTCTTTATGTGCCCAAAAAATAAGGTGACATTTGAATTTAAACTGCGCGCGTCGAAGGATTTGGAGAATTATAATATTATTTTTTTTAGGTTGGTAGTACTGTCAGTCACATTTATGTTAAATTTCATGTCAAAATATTTATTAGTGTTTGAGATACGTGTCGTTTTGTGAGATGCTAAAAGTGTTTTTCGTTTTTTGCGATGTCGAAATTTGTTTAGCAAGGAATTTGCATTAAATGATCATTTCGCCAAAAACTCAACCCATATCGTTCCGCAACCACCGTATTCACCTGATCTGACGCCGTGCGACTTCTGGCTGTTCACCCAGCTCAAAAGACCGCTCCGGGGATACCGTTTTTATACGATATTCAAGCCGCAGTGAAGACGGAAATGAAGGCAGAACAACAACAACAACGGAACTGAAGGCCATCCCGGAAAGTGACTACAACCATTGTTTCGAAGATTGGAAAATCCGTTGGCATAATGTACTACATCTAGTGGGGTTTACTTTGAAGGGGATGAAATTGATTTGGAAGAATAAATAAAGAATTTTCAAAATAAACACAATTTCACCTTAATTTTTGGGCACAGAGTATATTAAGGGGGAAGGACATAGTAAATGTTATGAAATGAAGCATTTATTAGTTTTTGTTAGGAGTGTCTCTTATATAGGTGTGGTACTTGCTGGAATTTTTTTATTCATACAATGGTTTATATAATTTTAGTTGGCTTAATTCAAAATATTTTTTCATAATTTTTGATTAATTGATTTGTATAAACTACTCTATATGTTTAATTTAATGTTATTTTATATTATGTGTTGTGTATAAGAGTTTGTCTACGTGAACGTGAACGACTTAAACGACATTGATTGGCGCTATGCAAACGGTATTGAAGTTCGGGTTGACCAACCTTTTCAGACACCCAGACCTTTAGCTGTTCAAGGGGCATGAGTCTAATGTTCCATGCTTCGTCCACATTTCTGGCATCGCCCTCGGCACATTCAGCGCATTGTGTAGCCGGTACGATCTGATCAAGTTCCGTCGGCGCCTCAATTACTTTATATAGATCTTTCACAAGATATACCGTGGTTAAGACATCACGATTCTTTTGCCGCTCGATTGCGTATATTGCACAAACTAACGACTGTATACGTTTCTCAATGAATTTCATTTGTTCGCGCATACTCTTAATGTTAATCTCCTTGTGATCTTCGAAATCGTCTGCCAACAGTGATATATCTACAAGTGTTTGATCACGTATCAATTGCAATCCTTCGAACAATTTTTTAATACGTTCATCCTGTGAGGTGGCCTTTTTTTTGAGACTTGCATTATTCAAACGCTTAGTCTTCAGCACATTTTTCAATTTCTCGATCGTCTCGGATTGAGATTTTAGTACATTTCGATTGCCAATCTTTAGGTCTTGTAGTTCACCGAAAAGACGCGCTACCGAATTGTTCAATAGTGTTATACGATAGCTGATTTCATTGGAATGATTAGAGAAGGAATAATAAAGGCTTTCCTGTTCTTGGAATTTGTCAATGACATGTTTAATGTCAGACGCTTTAGTGTAGTTAAGAATTTTCCTTAAAATCTTGTTGTAGAGGTTAAGTTTCTTTATATATTTTTGTCGACAAATTTCGCGGCGTTTAATTTCCTTGTATGGTATGGCAGTTAGGGATCGTTTTACAAATTTCTTCTCTTGGAATTCCATCACCTTTTCGTTTGCAGTTTTAATACGTTGAAGCGTTTCCATTTCAACCTTTCGCTTCTCCAAATCATGCACAAAGTTTTTACTTTGATTATCTAATTTCTCATACATATCGATACCAATTTCAATTTGGTCTAGTCCAAAATCAATGAGGTCCGTAAGGTATTTATTTTCGCTGGTCAATCGTTGTATGTATTTTGTGTAAAATGAATAATATTGCCTACGATCGTTTATCAGTTCACAAATATTTAGACGAAGCTTCTCACTTAACGCGGTTAGCTTACATTCCATCTGGATCTGATTTTCATATTGATCCTCCAAGAGTCGCAACGACCGTTTGGCAGTTTCTAAATCCTTTCGACTCTTTTGGAACTGTAACATATTCATATGGGAGATGTCCTTATTCATTACACCCAATTTACGATCCAGATTGTGTATATATAGCTTTATTTTTTGAACTTCCTCATTGAGTGATACATTACAATCAATGAAGCATTTGATAGAAGTAAGGGCTTGACCATTTTTGACCTCATGGCACTTTCCTGACGCAGTCCAAATCTTTGTTTTTAGCAAATCCTTCTCGGCTTTCATTCTCTTGCACCCATGTTTATAGGCCTCAATCTGAAGATGGTTGTTTCGTACATTAGGCAGTCGCGCCTCTAAGACCCTTCTATATTGGCGTTGTCGGGCTTGAAGCTCTGAATTTGAATGCTTACAAAGCTTTAAAAATCGACTTGTATCGAAGTCTTTTATAGATTTTGTGCTCATAATTATATTCGATATTGGTTGGTATACTAGTATAGGAATTCACGAATTTAGAATTAAATGCAGAACTCGTTATATTATTTATTGAATATTTTCTAAATTTCGTGAAAAAGTTTTAATAGATGTAATGGGTATTCAATTTGAAATGATATTATTTTCAAAACTACGTGAATTATATTATAGAAAACAGTAGGCATTATGTTCGGTTACAGTCATGATCCCGGAATTCTGGTTATAGTGAAAACTCTTTGAGGTAAAAATGAATGTAAAATAAGAAAAATGTGTAACTCCGGCTTAAACGTTATCTCTGAAGCTATATTGCCCTCCACAAGCGTATGTCTTATAGCATAATAAGATATTTCGTGTATATACAGGCAGACTAAATCTAGGATTTCTTTCCTTCGGGGTATTACAAATTTCATGGCGAACTTAATACACCCTGTTTAGGGTATAACTGTGATCTTTGTTTTCCGCTTTGATGAAAATGTACTAAAACAGTTGAAAGAACTATAGTTGAAAGATATTTGATATTATTGAGCCAGAAGTCCCACCAATCCAAATGTAACGTGAATATACACGTTACATTTTAAATTTTTGCATAAATGACGATGTTCACAAAAATAATCTTTTGTCATTCAAGCTGTTTTCAGTTGGTGAGGGGACGATGAGCAAAGGCGAAGGGTCCGTGGCACTCGTGCTCGTGTCGCACGCTTTGTTCTCTTGTTCGTAACACTTTATAATTCCTTTTAATTTTGTATTTCTTCCGGTTGCAATAGCCTTTAGTTTCATATGAATATTTGCATTATTTCCGAAAATTTCTATTTTATCATCAATTTCTTGTATGTATATGCAATTATGTATGTAAAAATCCATAATATAATACAAAAGGAGGTTCTCATGCAACAAAACCAATGTATAATCCTACCTATAAAATTATCAAAAAATTTGTTCTTCGTTAAAAGCTAAATCGATTAATTGATTCTTATAACCTGGTTATCGATTGTAAACTTTTGATTACAGTTGTTAACACAGCTGATTTTGACAGATTTTTTTTATCAGTGAACGATTTGAAAATTTGGTGGCAAATCCACGTATATATTAAGGGAGTGTTTAATTAAATTAAGTGAAATTTGAAAATATTAACAATAGTTATAACCGTATATATACTTCTGCAATTCAAAACCATAGCCGTAGGTGATTTAAAATGAGTGGAATTACGATAGCTATAAGCGCTCTAATCGCAGCTTGCGCTTATTTTTCTACCATTCGAATGATCCCGAAGTTCAAAGATATGTTTATTAAAGCCGGCTTGTATGGTAAAGACCTTTGCAAGCGCGAACAACCACAAATGTAAGTATACAACGGTTATTTTTTAAACTACTTTGAAGGAACCAATAAGATTATTCATTTAGACCAGAATCATTTGGGGTATTAATTGGATGCGCTTTTCTTGTGGCTATGTTTCTTTTTATACCGATTCCATTTACATTCGAAGAGGCTGCATTGCTTGATGTAAATACCGGCGCGAAACCTGCAACTTTTCCACATGAAGAGGTAATTAAACAAACGAAAAGTTCGTTTCGCAACATGTGTATCTAATAACAATAACCTTTACTTATTGGTTAACAGTTTGCAGAAATGATTGCAGCACTCTTGTCTATTTGTTGTATGATTCTGCTTGGCTTCGCTGATGATGTTTTAGACCTGCGTTGGCGTCACAAGTTACTTCTACCAACAATGGGCACATTGCCCTTACTAATGGTTTATTATGTGAATTTTAACATTACAACAGTAATATTGCCAAAGTTTGCTAGGCCGCTATTGGGCTATTCGTTGGATATTGGTGAAATAGTGTTTGAATAAACTGAAATACTAGCAATACTTATATATGTATGCGTTTCAGGCATTTTCTATTACATCTATATGGGTATGCTTGCCGTTTTTTGCACAAATGCAATAAATATCTTAGCTGGAATCAACGGGCTTGAAGTTGGTCAATCTATTGTGATTAGCGCATCCGTTTTATGCTTCAACATCATTGAATTGGCGCTTGGGCACCAAGTGGATTGTCATAAGTTCTCGATTTATCTAATGCTTCCATTTTTAGCGGTTTCGCTTGCACTTTGGAAGTATAATAAGTGAGTACACTTTAGTAGAATAGATTGTTATATATTATTATATACGTTTTCTTTACAAGTACTATTGTATCCAAAACTTGCTTTTATGCAAACTGAACGATCAGAATAAAGTTCTTGTAAGAAAAACTTTTATATTTGACAATATATCTTCGACTCCACCATAGTCAAATAAACTTTTCAGATCTGATCACTATAACATATAGTAGCTGTCATATTTGACTGAACAAGATCGAAATAGAGATCTTTATATACCATTGCATGATACAAAAATAATATTTAACGTTTTTTATTGTTTCTTTTGAACTTGTTTCTAACAACATCAATTAAAATTGCAAGCTGACAAAAATGTGTTATACGGAAGCCACATTAAGTGAAGCATTTTTTATTTATTTATCGAATTTTTTTCTTAATTTAGGTACATACATACATTATAATTAACCATGATAATACATTTTAAATTTTATTTTTATGATTTTAATGGATTTATAACAAATGCAAATGTGCATTTGTTTGAAATTAATTACTGGAGCTATAAATGGTGTTAGAAATTAACAAATGCTTTTGTATGAGATATAATTGGCTATGAAATTATAAATATACATTTTTGGGATGTACAAAAAAATCAGTTGAAGAATGCTAACAATACTTGAATTTCCATAAACATATTTAATAACTAAAAAAAATCGTTTTAGTTTCGAATCCCAATAACTTTATCACAGCATTTTATATAAAATTTGAATCGTCAATAATTGTAATTGATTGTTAATAAGCTATGCGTGATCTACCACATTCGTAGATATAATAATCTGTATTCTCAGCTTTGATAATTATAAGAAAATGGGTATAATACATAATTCATAGCATAGTACAATATTTATACATTTATTTATTTTACTTAACAAAGGTCATCGTTGATATGTGTTTACTGCAACATTAATAATACTAGTGCATATACCAATCAAAGTCATCAGTAATGTATGAGAAAATACAAGTACTTTATAAATTAAATTTTTGAGAGCTCTGCAGATTCATATTGTTTTGTGTTTTTTATTTTTGATAAACACACGATTTAAATAAAAAAAAAAAAATACCGACACATCGATTATTTGCATTTTCTTGAAGAAATACATTCTAAACAGTCTAGTTAATATATCAATTATGTTTTATTTTAAATGCAAATTATATATTATTTTGGGCATAGAATAATTTCGATATAAACTTATTAGGCACAAAAGTTGAATAACTTCTTATGAATAAATGTATGTAGCTGAAATGATAATATCTCACAATCCATTCTACTCCAATCTATGTTTGACAAGTAACTAATGCTGCTTTCATATTTGTTTGCATCTTCCGAAAATTTAATTTTTTAGCCGCATTTTCTTTAAATTTTCAAATTATCACTCAATTAAACATATTTTAAATTTTTCACAATTTGGAGCGGTTAGTAGACGCTAAGGCAAGAATATTGCGACATTTCTCATTTCTTAGTAATTTCCGGCTTCGTATTCAATGTCATCATCAAATGACTCGAATAAATTAACTAATAGATTTCCATATTTTGAATTATCTGTTTCTGCCAATGCGGGTGCATAGTATTTATCTGAATACCGACGATTACGCAGCAGCTGCATTTTCCCGTCAACGTAAACACCGGTTGCAATAAGTTTTTGCAAATAGGCCGCGTCAATGTTGTGGTTACGTACAGTATCCGCAAATTGAACTTGTGTCAAGGAACTATTTTCAGCTTGTAATTCGGCTACAATTTCTTCTGGCTGCTGGCAGTATTTGCAAAACCATCCGCCAAAGTGATTTAAATCGCCGATGACAAAAGGTGCTGGGTGATTACTTGCTGTGAGGCTTATATCAAATTTCTTTGCTGGATCACTTTCATCGCCATTTATTTGGCTTGGGTTGTCCATATGGACAAAGGAACTTACAAGACCATTAAGATAAGTTTGTTTTGGATGTTGCCAATAAAAACCATAGACGACATACTTCAGTCGAAAAAGTACATTACGTACATCTTTTGCATAATATTTAAGAAATTGCAGTGCATCCGGTGATGGTAACACACGATCGTCTGTATAAAGTAGCAGATCGCTTGGTTTTAGTGGTAATAGTTTTATTTGGTTCTGCTGCAGCTGTTGATGGAAATGTGCATACGCCTGTTTGATGGTACAATTTCCTTCTTTATTTAACGTATACTCTTTGTCACATAGGTAAATCATATATTTATTAGTTGGCAGCGTTTCTCTTAACCAGTGTTGAATTGTTTTGAAATCCTTTCGTGCTGGTTTTATATATATTACGAAATAATCAACTACATCGGCGAGCATACTTATTTGTAAATCCAATAAATCTAAATTAAAAAAATTTCCTTCCAACAAGTGTACTAAGCGATTTGGACTCCGCGTCTTAGTTGGTTCTTGCAGTTGAAAATGTGATTTTGACGTTAACAACGCACGCCACATAACTTCTGGTTGACCACAATCACGCCCATGCCAACCAGCCCGACACTTGCATTGTGTGTTCTCTTCCTCCCAAGAAAGTACAACGTCCTGTGCAGCTTCATCATTCGATATTTGTGATTGTTCGTCAATACTTCCTTTACGGAAGCACCACAATACATCGTTGTCCAACTCAGGCAAAAACCCGCTTCTATTTCTATATTCTATGGTTTTATTCAGTCTGTTCAGTTTGACATAAAAGTCTTTTTTAAAATTGCTTTCTTTCCCTGATTGACTATTTTCGATCACAGCTTGCGATACTTCCTGCTTTGATGCTACTTTTCTGCCTGCAGTATCGGTTGAACTAATGTTTACGGAATTGGTTATAAAATTAACACGTCTCATACCCAGCAATGCTCCTCTGCGTGGCTTATTAACTAAATTATTGGTATTAATTGAGTAGTCTTTGGTGTCGCCATTATGCGCAGTTACCTCATTTAAGCTGGTATTGAGGCCATCGCCTAGCTGTAACAACCATAGGCACGAAATGAAACATATTTGGGCAAGTACCAATAGAGTTAGAAGTAGTTTTTTAGTTAAAGTTGTCTTGCCTCCGATTGTAGTTGAACTTGCAACATCTGGCATTTCAATGTCTGAGTACAGATGCTGATTGTTCGTGAGTCGTGTTGTGGCATTTGCTGCGTTGCGTTGAAACATTTGTCATTTGTGATACATATATAATGCAATAGATATCATAAAATATTCACTCTACATAATATGATCTAATTTTGCCTAACGAGTTTCCAATTTTTAAGTTAATTTGCATTTATTTTTCTCTGCAACATTTTCTGCGAAAACACACCCAAGAAAATCTTCCACTTCTTGACTGCAAAAGGAATACGAATAAGATGACGATAAACCAATCAGCTGTTGTCGTCTGTCGGCCTGTTCTTCAGCAGCTGACAATGGGGGTTTCAAAAACTTTTTCTCTTTTTTGTTTTGTTCAGTTTTTCCATTCATTTATCAGAGAAAGTTGAATTCAAGGGTAAACGGTAAATACCTGCAAAGAGGAAACAGTAAATCGACCATAGTTGTAAACAAAACATTGGAAATAATTTATTATGAAAAAAAAAAACAAAGTGTAATTTCTAACTATGATTCAATTATACAGTTCAACGAGATAGGCGGCGACATCTTCATATTCCCTGTAAATTTGAAATACTACAAGACGTACTTGTGTACATATATCACGGCGGATGTAAGTAAATGAAAATATTTTGAAGAGTCTGGCTAAAAATTGATTATAGTGTATATATATGTATGTATATGGAAATATGTACGTGTGATGGGTTGGTTAATGGGGCAATTGGTCAACTTTTGTAAATTGATTTCCATTGTTCTTTTCTAGCCATCCTGTGGATTAAATTCTTGGAACTTTCTATTTGTTTGATAGTACGATCGAAAAGGCCCAATCCTCTATAAAGTTTCTGGACCCCAATTGAAAAAGTTCTTAAATCTTTGCAATATAAAAGAGATGGGCATATTTGAATTGAAAAAAATCAATTTCCAGTTGGTCCGATTGAGGAAATAATTAATTTATTCATTAAAGTTAGTGCACACCATATAGTAAATTTTGTTGTTATTGTAACGGCCGTTGACTGCAATATTAAGGTTAAGTCTGTACTTCTTTCTCTAGTTTGTGAATATGGGTAGTATAGAAGAGTGTTATGTTTTGTGCAGCGAAGGAGCGAGAAAGGTCGGAGAGATTGGGAGTTTGCTTCTGAGCACATGTCATCGATTCTTTTGTTTGACGTCATTATCGCGTACCTGCGTACGTACGTCTCATGGACCGTATTGGTTCTTTGTGGACAATTTGGGTGTAGCGGTTGCGCAGTGACCGAAGTTGGTACAGATCGCACAGCCGTAGAGGCTAATGTCGCAGTAGGGTGTTGGCAGCAGAGAACCACGTAACTCGTGCCGGCCTGACCAGGTATATGGCTCCATCCATTGCGTATATTACACCAATCGAAGTGGAGTTTGGATGGAACCTTTTAACGCAGACGCACCAGAAAAATTCCTCCGGTCACGGGTTCGACTCAATTCCAGCACGACTGCAAGGAATTAGATCAGGTTAGATCACCAAAAAAAAAAAACAACCCTTGGCCTGATAAAATCCTTTTCAATTTCGGTAACGTAGAACAGGCTGTCGTGGACATTGTAGTAAAGTCATAGTTCCTACTCTACTCCGAATGCCTATATAGATACTGCAGATGGTCTCTTAATTGTAAGAAATTTTATTCCTCTCATTAAATACTACTGATTGGTTAAAGATCAAATTAGATCTACTATATATTTTGATTTGAAGCAGCCCAAAAGTAATCCTAATATCATGTTTACACTTTGTATAATGGAAATATTAAATTACAAATTGCTGGTAAAATTTCAAAGTTTTTTTCTGATAAGTTTTTTTCCTCAATTCCAGATATCCATCACAAGTGTTTGTCGGTGATACGTATTGCTATTTTGCTGGTATGACATTCGCTGTCGTCGGAATATTGGGACATTTTAGCAAAACTCTCTTACTCTTCTTCATGCCGCAAATCTTAAACTTTTTGTACTCAATACCTCAGCTTTTTCACTTTGTGCCATGTCCTCGACATCGTTTACCAAAATATGATGCTAGGACAGATCTACTACACATAAGTACGACGGAATTCCACCCTGAAGAATTGAACAAGCTGGGATTGTTAATGGTGCTTGTGCTGAGAAAGTTGAAACTAATATCATGGCAACAAAAAAATGACGGCCGAGTGATTACCAATAATTTTACGCTCATCAATCTGGTTTTGGTTGTATTTGGACCCGTACACGAAAAGGTTGTTACGCAATTTTTAATGGGCCTACAAGTGATCTGTACCTTATGTGCAATGGTTATACGATATCCTCTGGCTAGCTACTTTTATGATACCTAATTTATAAGAAGTATTCCTAATTTTGTACGTGAGCGTACATACATACATATGTATAGTACTTGTCAGACGATTTGTATTTTTGTTGAGACCAAATATTTAAATAAGTGTATAATATAAGAAGTCTGATTGTAAAGATCTACATCTAGAATAAGTTAATTTCAAAGTGCAAATAAAAAACGGAAATAATTAAATTTCGTATATTTCTTATGCCGAACCAATCCAAAGTATTTGGATTAAGACGCGAAAATTATGTGAAATGCGTGAAATCGGATGATAACGTCAGAACCCTTCATATCGTATCGGTTAAAATCGGATGAATACTAGCTTCCATATATTTAATAAAACGGTCTTCAAATATCCGGTAGAGTTCATGCCCTATAATCGTACAATAAGGGGGGCAATATATGAGATATCTTAATGGAACTCAGATAGCAACTTTTTCAGGTAAGGATTTTTAGTAGTGCCTTCACTTACTTGTGTTTAATAATCTTAACTACTAGAGAATCCAAAAAGATTTACACTCTTGACATTCGAGAGTTTCTTTTAATACTTTATACACTCTTTTCAAAAATCATTATATTTTCTTATGCTTTGTTTTACTTTAATAAAATTTCTTCAACGGAACTTCATTTCTGCAGTTTTACGCACCGAATGTGTGTAAATTCATTGAAGTCTGAAGAGTTTTATCCCGTTTTGCAATGAGTATGTCGGACATATCGACAGAATCTGAGCTAACCGTAGCCGAAGAGGAAGAAGATCGCATAAATATCGGAGTAAGTAAAAACAGATGTCTGAACTAAACCCATTATGGTCTTTATGTGTTTACATAGCTCTATATCGGTGGTCGCAATGCAGCTGGGCAACGTCATGGACGTGGGTGGGCCATACTTCCCAATGGGGATCAATATGATGGGCAATATCGTCAGGGCAGGCGTCATGGCATCGGTTTGTACGTATTCAAGGATGGATCACGCTATTACGGGTGCTATCGTTGTGGTAAGCAAATTGAAGTGAATATTAGTTGAAAGGGTCAAATTGACTTCTTAAATTGCAATACGCCTTTGTATTAGGACATCGTTCGGGTCGAGGTATTTTCATCTATCCCGACGGTAGTATGTATRAGGGTTGTTGGCGCAAGAATATTAAACATGGCAAAGGACGCTATAAGTACGTTAACAATGATTGCTACATGGGTAACTGGTACCGCGGTCTGAGGCACGGGGTCGGTGTCTATTGCTTTAAGTCCGAAGAGTGCGGGGAGCTACGTTTCAAAGGTACATGGCGCATGGGTGTTCGTGTGGGACCATTCCAAATATTTTATGGGGACGAAGATCGTTCAACTATTCTACATGGAACCTGGGACAATGAGTACCCGCAAGGTCCAGCTGTGTTCACCTTTGAACAACGTTACATGCTGATGGGGTTCTTTCAAACACCTGGTATGACGTATAAAGTTAAGAAAAGTGAGGGCGACACTGAAGAGTTCGGTGGCGAAGTCGAAACCGAACGTAATGAGAATGGGGTATACGTCGATGTATTACCATCACAGTGGTTTGCTCAAGATATTTGCTGTTATGATTATGCTCAATTGCCACAAGAGCCTGTACCATTGCCTTTGTCCGATTCTGAGGTGTCTGTGTGCTCTTTAAGCACAGTGCCGACGGAGTTGACGCTACAGCGTAGCATTTTATATGTTGGCGAAGCAGAAGAAGAAGGAGAGGGTGAGTGCGTGGAGTGCATTCCATGTGAGGGTGTTAGTGAGAGTGAAATCGAAACGGAAAGTGAGCGTATCTGCAGTCAGCAAGCTGATCCCTGTGCTATCGAAATCATTAGTGAACCGAAAGAATGTTAATTTTCAAATATTCACTAATATTTCCTGTGATATTTTTTTGTGTACTTTACAATTAGTTTTGTCAATTATTTTAGACCTAATGAAACGCTAAAAATAATTGCAAATTGAATTTGATGGAATTACATGCCTATGTACTTACAGAAGAATGCTATAAAAAATATTGAGGTTAGTTTTTGTATTTGTTACGGTTGTTTTTTATACCCTGAACAATTGATATTGTTAAATTAAATGTTAAATCCCAACAAGGTAAAATTGAATATTTAATTTTAAAAATTATGATGTTGTGATTGAATTTGTATTTTTTAATTTCGATTTGTAAATTATTAATTCAAATGCATTCTTATTGGAAAGTTCGGTATAATGATATTCTGGTTTATGGATTAAAAATTAAAAATAAATACTTTATCAGGTTTTTGAGTTTATAATTTTTTTTATCCGGTATTTCGGTTCCAATATTGTTTCCAATCCGATATTTGTGATTAAATTTTTTTCACTGCCTTTGAGATTCCAAAACAAAAATAAAATAAATTCAAATGTTAATTATTATTTTTTTTTAATTTCATTACTTGCAACCGTACTGGCTTTTGATCAGATAATTCGCAGAAAGAGTGAAATATGCAAATTATACTTTTTAAACTTTTTTATTTTGTGTTTTTATCAAATGGTAGTGAAACAAAGCATGTTTTAATGCATTTTCTGGATATCGTTTTATAAATTCTGCGTAGCGTACATATTCCATATGTTACTCAGAAAGTTGCCAGTAGGGCACTGCCCGCAGAATTGAGTTTGGCGTAGACGCCCGATTGGGGAGTGTTAGTTAATTCACGTATTTTGTCCATAACATAGTCAACCGATACGACAATAGCAACTGTCTCTTGACCGAATGGCGTCGTTGTTAAATTACCAATGGCTTGAATAGCACGGTAACATGCCTCCAAGTCAATAGCCCATTTCAGCAATTCGACGACGCCTTCGGTTACTATGCGACAACATTCATTTTTCGCCACGCTAAGTGTCTGCGATATGGTGACGTTTAAGTAGAATGTTGCGATGGCAATCTGCAAATTCGCACTACCACTTTTAATTTGATCAATGTGTGCCGCTATGGCCGCAAAGCGAGGTTCGATTTGTTTCCGACCAGCTTCGTGGCGCATCATATTCGCTAGGCAACGTACTATCATTAAAGTATTAGCGGCTGAGGAATTCAACTTTGGCAGAATGTTATCTAGGAAATTGTACGAGTTCAAAATCGAAAATATTGGCTCATGACGTATAGCCAGACGGGCCACATCCAGAACGGGAAAGAGAATGTCTGAAAATATAAAATAATTTATCTAAACATATGTTATGCTTTGATTTATGAACAAACCATTAGGCCATCGTAGTAAATGATGCAGCGCTTCCACAGAGCTTGTATCCACTTCTGGCGAAGTTGTTGTTAGTGCAATAATCGCGTTCAATAACGTATCCGAAACTTTTTCACTCTCATTGGTCAGTTTATTATTGAATTCCCTAAGAAGAAATTACATTTGGGAATGGTATTATATACATTTTATAAATTTAGCGTTCGAATCGTCTCACTTCAATTTCTCCAACACTTTGGCCGGATCACAATTGTCAAAGGTTACGTAATTGCTGACGGGAAAATGTTTTTCACTGCCTTAAAATAGATAGGTGCGTTAGGGTAACGTTCAAATAAAACTCTTTAAATTATACCTCTAATGAAATTAACTTCTGGTTTTGGTTGTGAATTTGATGCAGCCGAGTAACTCGAACCACCAGTAAACGGATCAACGTTACCTGCGGCATTTAAGTTTTGATTGCTACTACCAGGTACATATCTCGATCCACCCGTGAAAGGATCCTGGTAACCACTTTAAAGATAAGCTTTAATATTAAATACATACTTCTTTGTTATGAGGTTACGAATTATTTACTAACCTAGCGGTCCGCTGAGATAACACGTTGCCAGCACTTCGCGAATTTTTAATTATGAAATTTGCAACCTGGTCTAGATAGGCTTGTGGTAGGTTGTTTCGATGTATAAATGTTTGCGCAGCTTGCCAAGGATCTTCACCCCTATTATAGGGCAGCTTAATTGGAGGTGCGGTGTCTGAGATGTCCACCGAAAACACAAAATCGTATTCCTGCATACAAATTATTGGAAAATTGAGCAACTATTTGAAAAACGTTATTATCCGGCATACAAACCTTTCCTTCGTATAAGGTTTTGCCGGAAGAGGCTTGAGATCCACCTGAAGCACCTGTAACATCACCAACTAAAGTCCATTGACCTAATTGCCAAGCGTAGCACTTCACCGAACCATCTTGGTGACGCACCATTTTTGTTTGACCTTCTCGCCTGCCGTTTGTGAGTAAGGCTTCAGGACCAGGTAAACTAGTGAAATTTTTAAACAAATATTAGCACATAATAAAAATTAAATTTAAGTTACTAAGTACAAAAGCTAAACAAAGTCGATTTACTCGTTGTCATCGAACATATGTCGTTTTAATGTCAAGTTTGAGCAATTATAAAAAAAAATTAATATATCTTTAATCATCATTCAGAGTAAAACCTTCGATTCTTAACATTAGCAAGTAAATATCTAGCACACTTTTCTATTGGTCACTAACGATTAATGCGCTTTTCGACATACTTACAGATATAAGCAGTGTATATTAAGTTTACTACGAAGTTGGTTACACCCAGAAGAAAAAGTCCTATAAGGTAATTACTAATATAAATGATCAGTGCGGCAATATAAATCGATTTAGCTATGACCGTTTGTGTGTATATGTACACGCGAACTATTTTTTTATGTTTTGAGATATCGTTCAGAATTTTGTTAATTTTTTTTAAAGTAATTAAAGATTATGGACCCGGTAAACGGATAATTTAAAACATTTTCAAATCACGAATGTTTTGATAATAAAGCGAATCTTTCGAAAATTAATGGAACATTTTTTTGAATACGAAAGCCATTTATATTTATCACAATTATAATTTGACTTACTCAGTTTTTTTTATTCCGCCAATTTCTTCAGACATTTGAACCTTTCTTGTAGCCACCGCATGCTCAAATGCTTTATTGCACGATTCATTTGCATATCGTGCAGGATCCTTTGTGAATACACGAACTACACCATCACTTGAGCCAGTTACAATGTCACCGTTTTTTAAGCAAGTTACAGACCATACGGATTGTGCAGGATGAGCAATGGCATCTCCCAATTCTTCGCCAATCGATAAGTCCCACATACGTAATGTACTATCTTCACCACAAGATACTATTATGTTTTCACCCAGTGCAGAATTTGCTGCCACGGAATATATGTAATTTGTATGTCCACTCAATTCTTTTACACATTCACCATCATCATTCCAATATTTTATAACCGCATCATTGGCACATGAAACAAGCGAGTTATTACTCATAGGTAAAATACCACGAACACAATCCTTGTGCCCTTGTAACATGCGTAGTTTTTCGCCATTGGCATTCCAGTAATATATGCACTTATCTGCTCCACCAGTTATAAATTTTTTTGTCTCGACGAGGCAACCCACTGACCATACCGCTGCTTCATGACCACGCAACACAACCGAAGTGACATCGCCCGTCTCTTTAATAGTCCAAATACGTGCTGTTTTATCCCAACTGCCGGTAATAAGGGTCTTTGGCTCCGCACCTGCCGCAATTGAACAGACTGTGGAATCGTGTCCTTTGAGAGTTAGTATGGGCACAAAACCGCCTTCTTTGTAAATAGCGACAGTGGCATCATTGCTAGCTGAGCAAATCCATTTTTCAGAGTCAAGGTAGAAAACAAAAGCTACGAAGTTTTTATGATCTTGAAAAGTGACGGATTCTGTGTAGTCTTGCCTTAAAAAAGTTAAATACTCTTATATTAATTGAACTTTTATGCAAAATTTGGCTTACCCTAAACGTTTCCACAATTTAACTGTTTTATCGCGAGAACCTGAAATTATTATTTGTCCTTCCGCAGTTTCCCAACCGGCAGCAACTGCCCGTACATCCATTGAATGTCCGTACAATTCGCAACTCAGTTTATAATCGTTTAAAGTCGCACTCATTTTCAAAAGAATTACTAAATGTTACCTTCTATAAAAAGTATTTATCCCTGTTCGCAAAACTTATAATATTATAGACAACTTAAAAACAACTATTTATTGTTCAGATGCAAATATGTGCAACGAATGATGATGATGAGTCGATGACAATAGAAAAATTTCCAATAATCAAATGTCAGCGAGTTTTTTTGGCACATAAATATCAGAGAACGTTTAATATATATGATAGACGTTCTCTGGTGTAAATGTACGTTCTCTGTATGGCGGGACCAAGTGCGACATCTAACGTCCATTAGCTGTGATTAATTTATATTCCTTCGAGTGACGTGCAGAAATCTAAAAATTATGTTTCCAAAACAAAATTATTCGTTTTAAAACGGATGACGGAGCAAACTTTCCGAAGCAGAGTTCGACAGTCATTGATCTCTAAATATTCGTCCAAATTATGATGAATGACACTCAAAAACACAATCACCGAAGTTTTAATACCCTTCACATATACATATGCTATATATGAACTTAATTTTGATCGGTCAGTTTGTATGATATAGGGGCCGATCAGAACAATTATTTTGGAGACGGTACCGTTTGTCTAGTACAATAGTCTACACCAAATTTCCTACCAAGATTTTGCTTATTCAGTTTGCACGGGAGCTACATGCATCAGTGGTCCGATCTAAACATTATCTTTAGAGAGTTGCTTTAATCAATAATTTGAGCAAAATTTCATGAAGATATCTCATCATCAGTTTTTATGGTTTCAACATGGTAGAGGGGTTTATTTCGGTGGTTAAAACAAACGATTAGCTTCTTTCCAAGATAAAAGAGGTGTAAGATATCAGGTCGATATCTCAAAAACTGACGGACTAAGTCGTGTATTTACAGATAGACGGACATGACTAAATTGACTCAGCTCATTCGATTGTCATTTACATATATAAGTTTTATAGAATCTCCGGTGCCACCTATTGGGTGTTACAATATAAAGCATAAGTAAACTGTTGGTGGATTAAATGTAGCGTTGCTACAACAAGTGCAACTCGTCACAGGAGTGTCGCTGCTGAAGTGCAATCTGAAGGAATTCCTACTGGATCCTCTAATATACACTACAGATCAAGGTACAGTTTACGAACCTGCCTTGAAGAAGGCTGGTGATCTGCAAAGACTGTCTGAAGAATGGCAAACAGTCACAGTGCTCTACCTGCTGAACCCAACCTTCTGCCAAATTTTACCAAGATGGACGTTTCAATTTATATCAATTTTGTTTATGGTCATGAATAGCCCTTAATTATCACATTGTCGATTTCTCTGCTGCGAATCTTAAACTAGGCATCGGAATTACCGCTCATTTAGTGGATTTGAAGAATACGGTTGTAGAGAATAGTAGGTTAGCGTGGTCGTCCTTCAGTTTCACAAAATTTTCATCTGTGTTTCATACTACTATTGAATTTAGCGATGATAGTGTGTGTAGTTGGAAAGAGGTACGCCTTCTTAATTACTCCAAATGGTAGAGATCCCATCATTTATATGTATATATTCAAACCGTCATTTTAGTTTTTATAGTGTAATTTTTCGAACTTCTTCTTCTTTAATGTCGTGTGGTTTTTGCTTTTCGCTGATTACGCCAATTGCATAATGAGCGACTTTTAGAATTTGGTCTTGTTAAGAGGGAGAGAACATTACTTCTCCATTGCCTACTCAGTCTGAAGTAGCCCCTGTTGGTAAAAGTTATTCGGCGGTGGATTTTTGGCTGATCTTGTTGTTGGTGCTATTGCTGATTCCAAGATAGACAAAAGATATTTTGTCTTGTCCAACCTGTTGTTATGGCCAATGATACCGATGACATCGGCCTACGCCAGCAGTTTTACACCCTTGTAGAAGATTGTACCTTCTCCATTCAGATTTACAGCTCGAATAATTTTCTCCAGGAGTAGACGGGTGTTAGGGAGTCGCCTTGTCTGAAACCTTGTTTGGTCCAAGCAGTTTGTTGACGATGAGCTTTAATCTTCCACACAATATGCTCGTTAGAACCTTATATGAAATGTTGAGGAGACTTATTCCACGGTAGCTGGCGTAGATTGTGGGGTATCCCTTCTTGTGGATTAGGCAGAGCACACGTAAATATCAATCGTTGGACATATTTTCGTTCGACCACATTATACAAAGAAGATGATGCTTTTTCGAAAGAGCTTTGGAAATTTCCAGTTACCTTATATCTGTTTCCTACACATATTGGGTTGATGTTTCCAACTGGGTGCGTGATGAAGGTAATTATGCCTTTTCTATTTCGTAAATAAAGTACTTGAAAAGTTTACAAGAACTTTTGAAATGAAAAAAGTGCTTTAATCACTTAATTATGTCAGTCGGGTGTTTATGTAAACAGACATCATTACGTATACATTTCGTGTATAAAAGGTGCACACGACATCCTTTGCCAATATATTGAATTTCTAACGTTCCGTCTTCATCAACGTAATGTTGTATCGTCCGCGTTTGAAAAACGGCAAGTTGATTCCACTTTCTTGGCCCGTTGCAGCCTATCGGCTCTTGAATCATGTTTGCTGGCCACTGCGGGATGACGCAAGCTACCTGCTGCGGCTGTACGACCGCTTCTTTTGGGCGTTCGGTTTCTGCATATTCATGCAACACAACGACGCTGAGTTGCGTTATATAATTGTCAATAACAATAATCTGGATGAGATGTTAATTTGTGGACCGACTTATCTGATTCTGGTTGAGATTCACTTACGTGCCTTTCAGTTGGGCTTAAAGAAGGATGCATTCAAGCGTTTCTTGCAGAAATTTTATGCAACAATTTATATAGATGAGTGAGAGGCACACTACATACTTTCTAATTTATTTTATCGTATTTATCTTTATCTTGCGCAGGTCATCTCATCCCAAACTCTATGCGAATATACAGAAAAGCTTGCGTCCAATTTGGTTTTATTCCCTATTGTATTTTAGCACTCTATCGTCCTACATAATAATACCGATAATTAACTACCTAAATAATGTCAAAGTGCCGCTCTACAAAATGTATTACCCGTTCGATATCACGTCGAATGCGATTTACGTGGCCATTGTTTTATCAAACATTTGGGTAGGCTTCACCGTGATCACAATGGTCACTGGCGAGGACAACGTATTATCCGAAGTGATGCTACATTTAAATGGACGTTTTCTGCTTTTGCAACAGAAATTGCGTCACGATGCCGAGCGTTTGTTGCATGTAGTAGACGATAGAAATATTGCTGACGGACTTCGACGGCGGGTTATTGAAGCCATTGAAGAAAATGTTCGATTGTATAAATTTGCTGAAGATTTTGAACGTGAATTCTCCTTTCGTATTTTCGTCAATTTGTCCTTTAGTGCCGGGTTGCTGTGTATACTAGGATTTAAGGTGTATACGGTGAGTAGCTTAGGTTAAGAGGTCAATCTTAACACGGACGCGGAGCAGATCCTATGCATTGTATTGCTTCGTTTCGAACGCACTCCAAAAGAGTCGCGGTACGAAACTGACATAATAGCCGAGTTTACAACAGCGCACCAGTCGTTTTTTTTACTGTTTGGTGCCAATTGGATATTCCAAGTGTAGGCAACTCCTCCTCCAACTCGTCTTTCCAACGGAGTGGAGGTCTATCTCTTCCTCAGAGTTGGACTGCTGTCATCCATTCGGGCCGCTCCCTTTTAATACGCTGAACTATGTTAATGTCGCCATATAGTTTCTCCTACATCATTCCATCGGCAGCGGTATTCGCCGTTTCCAATACGCAAAGGACTATAAATCTTCTGCAGATTATTTTTCTCGAAAACTCGTAAAGCCGACTCATGAGATGTTCTCATCGTCCATGCCTCTGCACCATATAGGAGGACGGGGAGGATGGGTGACTTGTAGAGTTTGGTCCTTGTTTATCGAGAGGGGAATTTACTTCTCAATTGCCTAATAATTTCAAAGTAGCAACTGTTGAGAAGAGTTATTCTACGTTGGATTTCGAGGCTGACGTTGTTGTTGGAGATAAACGAAATTATCTACAATTTTAAAGTTAAGACTGTGAACAGTGACGTGGGAGCCACGACTGTTTGTTTGATGGCAAGAAATACAATATTTCGTCTTGCCCTCGTTCACTACCAGACCCATTTGCTTTGCCTTTTCTTCTAGTCGAGAGAAAAATAAGCTTCGTTTGGCATAGAACGGCACAGAGAAGTCCTTCCCGATCCGAACGGATCTGACATAATCACTATCTCAAATAATCTTAAGTTTCAGCTGTATGCATGTCATACTGTCAAAATATAAAAATTGGATCCGTTTACAAAGACTCCATAAAAGATAATTGATTGAAGATCTTGAAAAAAATCATGCATTAGTAAACAAGAAAGAATTTAGACACTTTGAAAAGTAAATGATACAAGGGAGGATCCAGAAATGTTAAAGAGCTTTTATTGCATTCAAATTACCGGTCTTCCTTTTACTTCTTTTCCTCTACATTTAGAATCCGATGGCTAGTTTCGGGTTCATATTTTGGATCTGCGCTAAAATAATGGAAATGATTCTGGTTGGCCAGTTAGGCTCGGGGTTGATTTACACAGTAAGCAATTCGAAAACTTATTGGAGTATTCTGATTTCTATCTCTCTCTCTTTCTTAGACTAACGAAATGAGTTATACTTTCTACGAATGCAATTGGGAGTTGGTTTTACTAAAGTCTGGAGATTCGAAAGCAAATGTACGCTTAATGAAAACATTGCTTTTGGCGATCAGTACCATTCAGAAACCATTTGTTTTGACCGGTTTCAAGTATTTCAGTGTCTCTTTGACGGCTGTTTTGAAGGTGAGTAGCAAGGGTGTCGAACTTTTATGAAATCTTAACAATGTTCTATCAGATATTGCAGGGCGCTGGTTCATATTTTACGTTTCTGACATCAATGCGCTAATGTATGCGATCCACGTTATATTGATTTTCAATTAATGATTTATATATAAATAAATGAAAACGAATCACAACTTATGAAAAACTGATATCGGCGGCTTGATGTAAAATGGTTAGTATAAAATATAATAGTTATTAGTGCACGGGAATTATAATTATTATAATACTGTGTTAGTAATAATATGTTTTTTGAGAATATTTTTTCATAATGGTCCGTACAATCCGCTTTTCTTTTATAAAACTAAATTAAAAATTTACAAAACTGTATTGACTGGTGAAGTCTGATTTATTTCAATATTTTATTAATTTATTTTTGCTCTCGCATCCTGTTGCAACGGTGTATTATAATTTTGTTCACCTAATGGTAGCTTGTAACATCTAAAACTAACCGAGTTAGATATGGCGTTATATAGTTACCTAGTGATCAGGATGACGAAACGAGTTGAATTCCTGAAGTGGATCCAAGTGCTTTTTTACCGAAATTATCAGTTAATCTGTGAGAGATGCTATGGGGTCAATTCATTCTTTGTTTACAAGTCATTTAGTGTCGCCGTGTCAAGTATTTTTTTACAATGTAAAAAAATTGAATATCGTGCAGTGATGGAATTTTTATTTTTATAAGGTGCATCACCAAAAGAAATTGTTAAACGTGTATAATGGTTGTTCATCTACAATTAGAATAGTAAAAAGATGGGTTGCTGAATTTAAACGTGGTCGTACAAGCCTTGAAGGCGATACATGTGAAGAACGTCCAAAAGAACTGAGAGAGATTTGGTAGAGACTCTACACATCTCATTAGGCAGTGTGAGCCATATTTTAAGTGAAATTTTGGGTTTTAGAAAACTGTGTGCACTATTGGTGCCGCATTCGCTAACAATGGAACAAAAACTCATTATAAGCAACATTTGGAGCGTTTTAAAAAGAATAAAGTGGACTTTGTGCATCGATTCATCAATATAGATAAGATTTGGGTCTATCATTATGACCCTGAATCAAAACAAGATGCTAAAGATTGGTGTGAACCTGGTTGCTCTACTTTGAAACGAGTCTGGAAATCGGCTAAGAATGTTATGGCGGTTTTGTGGGGTTTTGTTTTTGAATTAATTGCAAACTGGTAAAACAATTAATTCTTTTCGACTAGTTGAAGGAAATAATTCATGAAAAAACATACGTTTTGTAGAAGAAAAAAATCCTTTTTCATAAGGACGATTTACCGATGCCACAAGAGCATTTTTACAATGGCCAAAGTCCATGAATTAATGTTCGAATTATTGGAGCATCCACCTTAATCACCAAATTTCGCCCCAAGCGACCATTCGTTTCCAGAACTCAAAAAATATATGAGTGGCAAGCATTTTTCATCAAGTGAAGAGGTCATAACGGCTGTTGAACCATATTTTGCAGATCTTCCGGATTCTCACTTTAGGGATGGGATCCACAGATTGGAGGATCGTTGGAACATGTGTATTAATGTTCAATGAGATTATACTGAATAATAAAGTTATTTTGAATCATAAAATTGTGTTTTTCTTATCAAACGAATAACTTATTGAACAACCTGGTAATACAAAGATTTTCAATTTTCCGATTGACTTTGTACCGCATATATCGGTCAATCTGTGAGATTTCTTAATGCAACTAAAAAGATAATAATCAATATAATGATTTCCAGCTTCTTGTATCTTTCGAACCATATACATATGTATATCGGTCAATTCTATGATATTAAATATAATATAATAAGATACAAACATAATTGATATCCTATCACCCTTTCGGCGAATAATGAATGATTATTTTTTTGGTAAAAAGTTTTGTCAAAACCCGAAATTATCACCCCAGATTTGATCCTTGCCAGAGTATAAAATGTTCGGTTACAGACTAACTCTGCACTTCCTTACTTCTTAATATTTCTTTTCCTTGAAAAGGAAGCTGATTTGCATTGCATGGAATTTCTTATCATTGCTTGAACAGGCGTTAAAGTCTTCACTTACATACCATATAAATGTGTATATTATGTTCTTAGGTATATTAAGCTCTCTTGCTCTCTCTTTTAGTTTATGTCTTGAAAAGGGATGAAATGCAAATAAGCTCTTTCTTTTCAGTTTAAATCGTGTCTAAATCATTTTACATTTCACATACATTTTACATGCAATTTTTAAGCTTTTCTATAAATATTTTATCGCAAAACAACTAAACTGAAAACTATGCAGAAGCAATATTCAATTACAAAAATTTTCGATCTACAAAAAAGGTTCGCGTGTGTTTATATATATATATATAAAGGTTCTTTTAAAAGTTATACACATTTATATTTCTACATCAAATATTTGGTATAGTACACTGTACCTGTCTCTTATACACATCTAGATGTGTATAAGAGACAGGGTTCGCGTGTGTTTATATATATATATATAAAGGTTCTTTTAAAAGTTATACACATTTATATTTCTACATCAAATATTTGGTATAGTACACTGTACTCCTACAGTACACCATGTCGTATGAGCAACACAGAATGTACGAGTATAAATCACTTGTACGAATGTTTAGATCATTTGATGTATAACTTAGAGTGCATATAACTTTAAGAGAAAAGTTTTTATGGCAAAAATTAATGAGGCTTTTTATGCAGAGCGGAAAATTTTACATTAGCGCATCACTTTTTCAAAGTTGCAGATTTACTTGCTTAATGCAACATACCAAAAAAAAATTGTTTAAAAATTCGAAATTTCTTTCGATTGACTACATCATATGACATATATGCATACAATTTTAAGCTTAAGCCACCAAATGTATTCAAATTATAACCAAAGTCTAAATTTTGACCGCTATGAGTACGTAGATTGGGTTTTATGTATATTTTGGGATGCGACTATTTTGTACAACTGTCGACGTAATATACATATAGTGAAAATAGAATCTTCCTAGCTCCCATAGTAGAAACTCATATTTTCACTAAATTTACTTTTAAATGTGATTTAATTTAAAGAAAATACTGTAAAATATATAAAAAAGGAAGCGGGTGACGTGAGTGAAGAAAATGTGCATTAAGATTTATTTATATACGATTTCTAAATCACAAGTCATGCAACACTTGTGGCAATTGAACATACTTTCACAACGGCTTCCATAAAAGCAAAGGGTTTGCTCACTCAAACTAAATAAAGCGGATACTTAGAAGGAAGTCTAAGTAATTGCTGTTGTTGCATTGTAAGTTTATAAATGAATTTGTGGTGTTAGATGTCGAAAGACATGAACAACTAAAATTTTAAACAACTTTTTTGGCAGTAAATACATTTCTTTATTAAGGAGAAATCATAACATCATTAAATATGGTTTCGAATTGACTAGACAAAAAATTTAAAAAAATTTATAATTTTAGAAGTAGTGTTTACCTTGGTGTGGTCGTTTGTGTTTATTCAGTTCCAACCGAAGCTCGAAGTATCACTAATCCTTGGAGATTTGTCTAAAATCCATGGGAAAAAAAATTATTTTAATAATAAATAATCTATCGCTTGATCCAACTTTGTTTTGAATTAAAATAAGTAAGGAAAGGCTAAGTTCGACCGCAACCGAACATTTTATACTCTTGCAACTTGTAAGAATCAAAGCCAGTGAAATACCTTATATTAAGGAAAGCAATTTAATATATACATATACTATATTATAACTTATACACTGACCAACATATTCAGCATACGTACCAACTTGTGTTAGTTTACAAAAGAGTTAATCAAAAAGAATTTCGTGCGTTAATAAAGCATTGTTTGTTTAGGGGAAAATACTGTTGAATTGGGTTGCGCATCAGTGAAATCAGCCGTTTAAATGTTGCACTGTTCTGTGCAGTGCTTCGAAAATATTTCTGTATATCTAAGATTAAAATAGAACTTTATATCAACACTCCAATGTATGGTTATGCTGAAAATCAGTAAAAGTGCGTTAACCCACTAACAAAAAACGTCAGAAACACTAAATTTTAAGGAAGAAATGGCAGAAGGAAGCTGCACCCAGGCTAAAAATTGAAAATGGGCGTGGCGTCGTCCAGTTATGGACCAAAAACCATATCTCAGGAACTACTCGACCGATTTCAATGAAATTCGGTATATAATATTTTCTTAACACCCTGATGAAATATATGAAATCGGTTCACAACGATGCCTTATTCCAATATAACGCTATTTTGAATTCCATCTGATGCCTTCTCTGTATAATATATACATTAGGAACCAATGATTGTGGAAAAATTGTCGTGATCGGACTAGAGCTTTTCAAGGTCGCTGATATCGAACAAGAAGAGCTCAGTGCCTAACCTAACCTAACTTAATTTTTCACCGAAAATATCGGTAAATCTCTCAGATATTTTCATGTAATTCAGAGGGCATCATTTTTATACTCTCACAATAAAGTTGCTAACAACGGCATATATCTTCAGATATATGGTTACATATACCAAAGTGATCAGGGTGACGAGTAGAGTTGAAATCCGGATGTTTGTCTATCCGTCCGTGCAAGCTGTAAATTGAGTAAAAATTGAGATCTCTTCATAAAACTTGTCATGCGAGAGTATAAAATGTTCGGTGACACCCGAACTTAGCCCTCCTTACTTGTTACTTATTTCTTTCTATTTTTGAATTACTAAAATTTCCAAATTATTGTCGGCCTTTCGGCCCAATATAGATCGCAGGAGATCTAATGATCTCTTTGCCCTCAGTAAAGCCAGCCTCTCGTTAGTGACGGGGCTCTTGACGGGCCACTGCCCTATTGGCATACATGCTATAAGACTGGGAATTACACCGGACGTCGCATGTAGAAGCTGCTTGGAAGAGGATGCGGTAGAACCTAGCCAGCACTTCCTTCTTGATTGCCCCGCTTTTGGGAGATCAAGACTTAGGCACTTGGGTGCGCATACCTACAGATATCCCACCGAACTGGCGGACGTAGAAAATAAGAGCCTTTGCAAATTTGTATTGGCTACTAAGCGTTTTGCCGATCCTTAAGTCC